TGGTACTGGAGAAGAGTATTGAATATACCATGGACTGCTAGGAGAACAGAACACCCTGGAGAGGGGTGAAGACAGGCTGCTCTTTGGAGGCAAGGATTCTGAAGCTTTGTCTGACATACTTTGGACATGTTGCAAGGAGGGATCAGTCCTTGGAGAGGGATGCCATGCTTGGGAGAGTGGAAGGACAGCATAGGAGAGGAAGACCCTCGCTCAGATGGATTGATTCAGTAACTGGGGTAATGGGGGTAGGTGTGTCAGAGTCAATAAGATTGGCACAGGATAGAGCAGGGTTTAGGGCTGTTATACACAGGGTCACTATGAGTCTCAGGAGACTTGACAGCACATAACAACAACAACAATGAAGTCAGCAGCACCATTCCTTACTCTTCAATATGCCATTTCCCGCATTAGAAGACCAGACCACACGATTATGTGATTCAAAATGGGTAAAGCCAGTCCGTTTCAGCTAACTAATGCTTCTTGTTGTTGTTGTTGTTAAGTGCAGTCAAGTCGAGTACAACTCATAGTGACCCTATGAACAAAAGACCTAAACCCTGTTCTGTAACTATCATTGTTTCTCTATGTTCATATAGTTTCCACAGACATGTGGTTTAGGAAGTAAATGTCACTCCTGCTTCCAAACCTGAATCATTTTGGAAGCTCTACCAAACACTGTCCACGATGGATAACCATTAAGACATTTGACACACCTATGGCACAGCATTCAGCATCATAACAACCTCAAGTTACTTCAGTACAACACATAGACCACGGCTGTACCACTTAGAAGAATGTGCATCCCAAAATCAATCAACACTAGGTCCGAGGGCCATAGGCCCAAGGGCCCTACTGCTTTTTAAATAGAGGCATGCCCACCAAGTGCTGGTTAAATGTTTAGAATATAAATTTTTATGCATTCCATTTCATTTTTGCTGTTATTGTGGTTGTTAGATGCTGTCAAGTCGACTATGACTCATAGTGACTCTCTGCACAATAGCTCCGAATGCTGCTCTGTCCTGAGCCAATCTCACTGCCTCTGACACACCTACTCTTACTATCCCAGTTACTGTGTCCATCCATCTCATCCAGGTTCTTCCCTTCCTACACTGTCTCTCTGCCCTTCCAAGCAAGATAGCCTTCTCCAAAGACTGATCTCTCCTGGCCACATGGCCAAAGTATGTGAGACAGAGTCTCAAAACCCTTGCCTCCAAGGAGCAGCTTGGTTTCACCCTCTCTAGGACAGACCTATTAATTTTCTTAGAGGCCCATGGTATGTTCAAGACTCTTCTCCAGCATCACAACTCAAAGGCATCAATTCTTCTGTCATCCTTGGTCATTGTCCAGCTCTCTTATGTATAGCAAAGACCATGACCTGGATCAAGTGCACCTTAGCCTCTGGACTGACATTGTTGCTCTTCAGTACTCAGGAGAGGTCCCTGACAGCAGATTTTCCTAATGCAATTCATCTTTTGATTTCCTGAGAGCTGGTGCCAAAAGTGTTGAATGTGGAATTGAGCAAGCTGAAATCCTTCTTGATCTATCATGATGCTGTCAATGGGTCCATGGTGAGAATTTTCATCTTCTTGATGTTTAGCTTCAATGCATATTGCAAACTACAGTCTTCGACCCTCTGCAGCAAATGCTTCAGGCCCTGCCTCCTTAGTTTGGACAAGCAAGGCTGTGTCATTTGTATAATACAGGCTGTTGATGAGTCTTCCTCTAATTCTGATGCTACATTCCTCCTCATAAAGTCCAGCCTCTTGAATGATCTGTTCTGCATACAGACTGAAAAAGTATGGAGACAGGATGCATCCCTGATGCACTCCTTTCATAATTCTGAACTATACCCTATTTCCTTGCTCTGTTCTGATGACCACCTCCTGGTCCAAGAATAGGTTTTACAAGAGCACAATCAGGTGTTCTGGGATTCCCATTCTTCATAAGGTTAGCTACAATGTGTTGTGATCGACACAGTCAAATGCTTTTGCATAGGCAATGACATACTTCTCCCTTGATTCAAACGTCACAGGTTCCACATTCTGAATGGATGGTAATGGATGCTTTGAGCTGTTTCTTCTCTTTTTAAGCCACTTTGAGCAGAGGAAGGTTCTGAAAGGCTTACCTATCTACATCACTACAGTCAACTCTATTTTCAAGAGACAGCTCTTTTCCACTCATCTTTTGCGTATCTTCCAAGCTGAGGGGCTTACTATTAGGCATTAAGCAGACAATGTTTCACGGGCACCTATGCAATTGTCGTTGGCCAATTTTCTCAGAAGTCGACCATCAGGCCCCTCTTCTCAGTCTGGAAGTCCTGCTGAAGCCTGTTCACCAGGGGTGAGCATGCTGGTATTCGAGGTATGGGTGGCATCGCTACCAGCATCATAGCAATATGTCAGTCACCACAGAATGATAAACTGGCAGGTAGAAACCTGCTCATAACTTAAACTATTAGTAATGGAGCGTACATATGTGTGGATTTACAATTATATTTCACTGTAATTGATACTTTGGACAATAACTTGTATTTGTTTGTCATTGTTGTTACATGTCACTGAGTTGCCTGCCACTCATAGTGACCCTCCCTACAGCAGCTCTGAACCTTGTGCTCTGCTGAGCCAGTCTCACTGTCTCCAACACACTTACCCTCATTACCCTAGTTATTCTGCCAATCCATCTCATCCAGGATCTTCCTCTCCTGTGCTGTCCTTCCACCTTTCTAAGCATGATGTCCTTTTCCAGGGACTGGTCCCTCCTTACCACATGCCAAAAATATGTGAGACAGAGCTTTAAAATCCTTGCCTCCAAGGAGAAGCCTGGTTTCATCCTCTCTAAGTTAAACCTGTTTGCTCTCTTAGTTCAATACTCTTCTCTGGCATCACAACTCAAAGGCATCTTTTATTTTAGGCATTTAAAAATTCTTTTCCACAAGCTTCAGGAGAGTCCAAAGCACACACACATACAAAGAAATTAAGAGCCTCTGGATAAGTCATCCCCAAGGGCCCTTTGGTCAAGAATAGTGAATGTGGACTTTCAGAAAAACAAACGAATCTGACTAGAAGTACAGGCAGAACTCTCCTCAGAAGGAAAGATCTTTGTCTTGCTGACATTGGGCATGTTATCAGGGGGGACTAATCCCTGGAGAAGGTATCAGGCTTGGTTAAGTAGATGGCCAGTGAAAACGAGGAAATGAAACTCTCCTTCTGACAAGATAGCCCAGTGGCTTCTGTTCTGTTGTCAGAACTGACCCAATGGCACCCAACATTAACAAGGATCCTTCGTATTCTGATATTCTAAGATTCTGAGCATTCATTCCCCCAGCACCCTATGAAATAGCACCATCTAAGTATGAAATCTCTTCTGTGTCCATTATGAAGCTGCTAATTGGAGAAGAGACTGAGATTGTTGATAATTTTAGCTTGTTTGGTTCTACCATTAATACTCTTGGCATCAGTAGTTAGAAAATCAAATGATGGGTGGCACTGGGAAAGTCTGCTGTCAGGGACCCTTCTAGAGCACTGAAGAGCAACGATGTCAGTCTGGAGACTAAGGTGTGCCTCTTCCAGGCCATGGTCTTCATAAGTACTTGCTCTGCATCTGAGGGCTGGACAATAATGAAGAATGACAGAAGAAGGATGGATCCTTAGAGCTGTGGTGCTGGAGAAGAGGGTTGAACATACCATGGATTGCTTGGAGAACAAACAGGTCTATCCTGGAGAGGGTGAAACCAAGCTGCTCCCTGGAAGCAAGGATTGTGGGATTCCATCTCACATACTTTGGACATGTGGCCAGGAGGGACTAGTCCTTGGAGAGGGACATCATGCTTGGAAGGGTGGAGGGACAACACAGGAGAGAAAGACCAAGGATGAGACGGATTGACTCAGTGACTAGAGCAATGGGAGGAGGTCTGTTGGAGATGATGAGATTGCCTCAGGATAGGGCAGATTTCAGACCTAATGTACCTAAGGTCGCCATGAGTCGCAGGTGACTTGATGGCACGTAACAAGTATGAAACTGAATTTGCTGATCACATTGCCTTTTCTTTTCCAATCAGGAAATATATCCAGGCTGTAGCTGCTCTTCCAAACTCCCGGGCTTCCCACAGAATGTGCTCAAATGACTCTGGAAAGATTTCAAAAATCCAAACCTCCCTCTGCTTTAATTCCTTTCTTCCCCCAACAGATGTCTCGGGCCTGGTGAGGAAGTCCATCATGTGTGACTCTCACGCCATCAATGGCGCTTCCTAGTACAGCTAAACCCTTCCTGGGCCCAGTATTGGTCTTCTTTAAGCGAGACAGTCCTTGGGGGTTCTGAAGTGGGTGGAACAGGGGGGGGGGCAGAAGGGTGTCCTTTATTAAAGGAGAAGGAGAAAGAGCCACTTCCCACCTTCTGAGCTCAGAAGTCAAGCTTTTACAAGGCCCTGGAGCCTGAAAAGGGACTGAAGCTAGCTGTCAGTTTCCCCAGCACTCAGGGTTGCTTCTGTCCAGCACCCACGGCCCTGGCATGTCCACATTTGAAGACCGTAACCTCAAACCTCCTCTTTAATGGCTAGTTGCAAGCTCTTCTCCTTGTCACATCATGGCCTGCTTTCCCACCAGCCAAACCACTGGCTCAGACCTCATTTTCTTTATAATTTAAGATGTCTGAACCGAGAGCTGTTCATCTGCCGAATCACTACTCGTCTTCAATCTTGGGTTTCCTCATCCTACACAGAGGGGAATAGATGCAAGGATGCAGTGCTCTGCCCTTCAAGTTTTAAGGGCTAAGTCACGTAACTTCACTGTGCACATCAAACGTCCTTGTTTCCGGGGTTTGGGGATTGGCTTTCACACTCATTGACTCCATCTCCCTGGGGCTCAGCGGCCATATCAAGGTAAGGAGCAGAAGCAGAGCCACGTGGACACCTGTGATAATCAAATGTGTCGTGTATGTGGAATGTTTAGCACAGGGCACGGCATGAAGAAAGGCCCCATAAATGGAGCCCTATTGTTCAGACTTACCAGCTCACCCATGGGGCCAGGCCGTCCTGGATTTCCTGGTTCTCCCTGCAAAGAAAAGAAGAGGAGGGTTACTTGGGATGTTGAGTGGGAGTCTAAGTTTCCTGGAGAACTCTCCAAGTTATTGGCCTTTGCTCCATTGGTGAGGATGACTCAGGAACTTTATGACCAAAATCTGGCCTTAGAATCCTCAAACAAATAACTGGAGCAAAGGGACATTTGGACAAACCCTCTGGACCCAAGGGTGAAGTTATCTGTCCCTGCTGAGTAATCCTCTGGCAGATTACTGAACTGCTGTTTAGATGTTCGCTGGGCTCTTATTAACCCATTCGATTTTGTGGAAGTGAAGATTGAGGGCCAGAGAAGCAAAGAGGCCTACCCACGGTCATAAAACAATCTAGAGATGGGGTAGACTTGAACTTTGGTCTTTAAATTCCCACGTCCATTGCACTGTGCTGTCCACCACAGGAAGTAAAGGGAGCTGAGAAATCTGCCATTAACTCTTGGGGTAAGTCTTCTATCTGTGCCCTGGGTAGGTTCTGCCTCTTCATGTATAACAAGTGGATGACCTGTTCATGCCCAAGGCTATTTCTAGTTCCCCCTCCCAGTGGCTTGTTCCAGAGTGGTTCATTGACTCTATCCCATGCAATGGTGGCCATGCAATGGTGGCTCCTGTGTGTTCAGGCGTCTTGGAGAAGGCTGCCCCCTTTGGGGTCTCTGAAGCCTCGAGAAATTAGAGGCAGGCTCAGTGTAAGCAAATCAGAGGGTTTGGGAGAAGTGATGGGCCATGGGATATACCTAGATCTTGCCACTGCTTCTTCCACAGAAACCCAGCTGGGATCTGAGGGAGCAAGGCTGAGACTGCACAACACAGGACACAGGTTGGACTGGCTGGGAATTTCCCACAAGTCTTTGCCTCAAAAAGGGATGCAACTCATTGAAACCTGGATTAGTCAGAGTGTCAGCCTCTCCATAAACTCCTTTCTCAGACATCCTGATCACAAAAACCCGAGGAGCTGTTTCCCCTGAGAGGAGAGGAATGGAGCCCTAAATCAGGGGTGAGGGGACCCTAGTTTCCTGTAGCTCTGCCCTAACCCTCTGGAACTTTGCCTATCTCTAAAGTTGGCCCAATAATCCCGTCAGGCAGGCTGGGAAAATCCTATCACCAAGGGAGATCCTTGGAAAACCATTAAGTGAGAGGTTGCATTGTGTCAAGGATTATTCTGCTATAACCCAGGCCACATCTCTTTTGATAAGAAGCAGCAGCAGCAGCAGCAAAAAATATTAACAAATGTGATATCATTTTATGGACAAATTTGAAAATGCATAGTGGTGGTTGTTAGACCACATCGTGAATGTAGCCATAAACTAACATCACTGAATTGTACATGCGCGAAGTGTTGAATTGGCGAATGTTATATCTTTTTATCATGATAAAATCATTTTAAAATGCCAATACACATTAACCGTACACACTAGGGAAAATATGAGGCTCAAAGAAGAAAATACAAATCCGTCATTCCACTCATCCATTCTAGCCTTTGGAACAATAATTCTACGCACTGTTGTGGTGTACACTGAGTCATAATCAACGCAGAGCTGACCCTCCAGTGTGTTTTCAGAGGCAGTAAGTCACACGGGAGGAGACTGCTCAGCCTTCTCTCTTGGAGCAGCAGGTGGATTTGACTGCAAGCCTTCAGGTTGGCAGAGCAAACCTTACCACTAAGCCACCAGAGCTCCCTGCGGTGAGCTTATTCTGTACACAGAGGGACACACTGTCACCTAACCCTGCAAGGGGCTAAACTTTAACCAAAGGAAACTGGCTCCCACCAGATTGACCTTGACCTCTAGTGACTCCATAGGACAGAAGGCTCCCAAGGCTGTAATCCTTGACTTCTCCATCATGACCTCAAGGCTGTAATCTTTACAGAAGCAGACTACCACATCTCTCATCCATGGAGTGACTTGAGGATTTGAACCATCAACCTTTTGATTAGTAGCTGAGTATTTAACCACAGTGCCACTGTCTCATTATATAGCTCTATCTTCCTGCTTATCTTTCCTCTATGCTATCTGCACATCACACACAACACAGGCACTTCCAATCCTTCGTTCCAGATATTCCCTAAGATCACCTTTCGTGGCTGCATTATATCCCATATTACCCTGTTACCATTGTGGGGGCATTTTCTCCCTCTGTTATAAGTATTATAAATTTATTATAAATTATTAAAAATTATTAATTATTATAAATTAATTATAAATTAAGACTATTTCCCCTCTGTCACAACCAACCATGAGCCCTTCAGGTGTTGGTTCCTTTCTCTGTCTTCCTCAGGCATCGTTGTCCCCTCCCCAACCCGGCTTCCTCTACCCTACACCACGCCTCCCGAGGTGCCCTCACCTTCACGCCATCAGGGCCAGGCTTCCCAGGAAAGCCCTTCCTGCCGAGTTGACCCTGCAAAAGAGAGAGAGTAGGAGGAGCTAGGCAGCCTGGCTGGAGCCCCAGGGTTCCACCGAAGTGGGCCAGGGTAGACATGGGGTGGAGGTGGGGTGACAATGTCACCAGGCAGGATTCTGAGGGGTCTTCAGATATGTGAGCTGTAGAAGGTCCCCTCCCTGTGCTGATCTCTTCATTTTTAAATGGGGATAATGATACCTGCTTTCAAGGAGTGAGGGAAAGGAAGGGGGCTGACAGAGCATAAAGGGTTCAGAGGAGAAGGTGGTCTGGGGACTCCTGGGTGTCACTGAGACCCTTTTGAGGCTCATGAGCTCAAAACAGTTTTCATACTATGAAAATGTCATTTGTCTTTGCCAGTCTCCTTCTCCCACAAACGTAACTGGAGGTTTCCAGAAGCGACATGCTACATATCACAATAGCGAGAATGAAGAAGCAGATGTGAGAATCCAGCTGTTTTCTATTAAGTAAAACATTAAAGGGATTTGCAAAAAAATGGTAAAAAAAAAAGAAGAAGAAAAGAAAAGCCATTCTTTTCATTAGATTATTTGTCTTTGGAAACCATAGCTATTTTTCATAACAATATTATTTGTGTTAGCTTGAAATAGCTTATTATTAATTTAAAATTAATTCCTAGATAAATATTTTTTAACATTTGTAATTTTAATTACTAATATGGTTAAGTATCAATAGCTGTAATCCATCTAAAAAAAGCACTTTGAGGTCTACAGCAATTTTTAAAAGTGTAAAGAGGTCTTGGTGAAAAAATTCAAGAAATGCTGGTTTATGTTCTCATTGTGAGGTTAAGCAGATAGTGGTGTTTGGGACAAGTGACTGGGACATGCAGCTTCCAGAAAGCTTCAGAGCCATGGAGAGAACACAGGCTTAGATTCCAAGTGGAATGTCTCTACTTCCTGCCTGTGCTAAACTCTTTAAACCTTATTTTCCACCCCTTTAATGAAGATAAGAAAGCAGTGCCTCGAGAGAGAGAGATTTAATAAAATCTTTCTGGCTGGCCCTAGGACCCCTTGTCCTCTCTGATGCTGCCTTGCCTGCTCACAGTCATCTCAGTTCTGACAACCCCTCCCTGCCCCCTGAGGTCAATGACACTCACCTCCAAACCAGGGGCCCCTGGTGGTCCCATGGGTCCCTCGTCTCCCTAGAGTCAGGAATGACATGAAAAGGGAGAAAAGGAGAAAGTGAATTCAGAGAGGCTCTCGGATGACTTGTCCTGTAAGGAGTGGGCAGAGGAGAGGTGCTCTTGGGCAGACAGAACCAGGGCACCTGGCTCACCCACCTGGTGCAGGGCCACCAGGCAGGGCCTAGAGGTCAGGCCACACGATGACTTCCAGGCAAACAGGGCTGGATCATATGGTCACGTTGTGGTGACCAGCACAGGCTCACGGAAGTTTGGGCAGGAAAGTACAACCCCATCTTGCGCCGTGGGGATAGAGACTGTCTGTAGCTCAGAGGCGTGTGCTCCACTCAGAGCAATACCTTTAACTCACAGACAGACCTTAGCCTTAGCTTACTCCTCTGTACACAGTGCAGAGTGCATATCAACCTTAAACCTGGTGACTGTCTTAAGTGGGGTTGCTAGAGGACAGTGACGCGCGGGTTTATTCATTCTTAAAACTATCCTACCATTTAGGATAGTTGATTCAGAAGTTTGGGGAAGAAGAGAAGGGGAGGAGGTCAGGAGAGAGGGTGAGAAATGAAAAAGCCAATGAGCGAGTATGAGAATGAATAAGTGATGGAGTGAATGAGTGAGTGAATTCATTTAGGCAACTCATTGTCATTGGGGTAGAACAGACTCATAGCTGACCTTCTAGCGAGTTTCCAAGAGGCTATAAATTGCATGGGAGGAGATTCCCCATCTTTTTCTGTTGGAGCTGCTGGTGGATTTGAACCTGCAGTGGTACCTCCTTTAGGTTTGCTGTGCATCTCATTATGGACCACACGAGAGGCTTTCTGTATAAAGTGCTGTGTAGGGTTGCAGTGTGTCATGGACAGATGCATGTGACTGATGCTCTCACCCTCCTCTGCCCTCCCTTCCAGCGTCTGGACCACAAGGATGCTCCAGATCTTCCCACAGGCCCCGGCAGCCTCCAAACTGGCCCTCTCTGGCATGCCAGACCTGACCAAGGGGCTTGCTTTGGAGCCAATGCCCCCACCCCTCTCCCCCAGCTTCCAGGAAACGGCCCCACATAGAGGCTCCTGGAGGGAGGGCTGGGGCTGGGCTTCCGCCAGACCCACAGGGATCCCTGTCAGCAAGATGCCTGCCTGTGGTCGTGGCCAGCCTCCACCTCTGGTCCCTCTCCCCGGGGCCGTTTGTCAAGGTTTCCCTGGCCTCTGACCAAGGTGGATGGTGGAGAAGGAACTAAGGGTCATAAGCCTGGAGCAGAAGCTCGCACCAGCCCGCAGAGCGCTGACAGTCCTTCAGCCAGTGTTCCCACAGGCCTGCGGGGATGGGCGTGTCCACCCCTTGATCTCTGTCATTCCACACATCACTCACGCAAGAGCAAAGGTTCCACCTTCCCTTGCAGAAACCTTCTCTGCCACCCTGGGCAGGTGTGGTCATTCCCTGGGCCCTTCTCCCTCTCCTGGGGGCAGAGGTCAGCAGCAGAGGGCCTGTGTCATCAATGCTGAGCTCAGGGAGACCTGGACGTGGATTCTGACTCTGCCTCAACAGGCAGATAGATAACTGTGGGAACTGAAGGAGCCTCATCACCTCTCAGACTCAGTGGCCTCATCTGTAAAATGGAGTGGGAAATCTTACCCTGCCATATACTGACACCTGGGCACACTGTGCTGAGGTGACCAGGGGCAGTGACCGCAGCTCTGAGAGAGGGTCACAGGCCAAGTGGGGGAGCAACGGAAAGTGGGGGGATTGTTCTACTGGACTAAAGTAGAGGAGGCCCCTGGAAGCGCCATGGGCTGGAGGGCACATCTGAGGCAACCCTGAGCTGTGTCCTGGCCGAGGTGTCCCCACCCCAAGCTCAAGCATCCAGTACCAGAAATGAGATTCCCTCCCTCACCGACCCTTCTGCAGGCCTGTCCAGGTCGAGACAGAATTAGATGGAAGGACAGACAGGAGGGTGAGCCAGGAACAAGGCCACACGGTCTCACCTCTGACCCCAGCTGCCCACGTGGTCCTGGCAGGCCTCGAGCTCCAGGCTTACCCTGGAGAGAAGAGGACAAAAAGTTCTCAGAGGTGCCACTGCTTTCCTTCTCAAGGGCTGGCAAGACACCCCCCACGCCCGACTTCCAAGCCAGTCCTTGCGGTCTGGGGTCTGCAGGGCACTGATTCTTCATCTGCAGTGACCCCAGGCAGGTACTCACCTTCACACCCTCTGGGCCGTTGTCACCAGGGGGGCCAATGTCTCCAGGGAATCCCTGGGGTGGGAGTGGGGAGGAGACAGAGAGAAGGGTCACCTACAAGGGCTGCGAAGGGAAGTTTGAAGAATTGACGTCTAGTAGCTAGCCTGCTCTGGGCTTCTGGCCCATCTTGCTAGGAGAGGACTCTGGGCAGGCCAGTGACCATGCAAGCCTGGATCTTCAGTCCAGAGAGCGTGGGGCCAGCATTCACCACTCAGAGGTGTTGACAGAATCACACGAGAATGTGCAGGAAATCAGGCACACACAAGAGCGCCGGACCCTGAATTCTCTATCTGATGTGGCTGCTGAGAAAGCCAAGCTTGGCTCCCCCCTTAACCTTGGAAGAGTCCAGGTGGGGCAGGGTGGCCCTAATATAACCACCTTCTGCCCCAAAAGTCTCACCCTTTGACTGCAGGAAACAGACGTATGATTATTTTCTCCACTGGCTGTGACTGAGATGGTGGGGAAGCAAGGAGCTAATCAACTTCAGTCCTATCGAAAGTGGAAATCCCCTCATCTCCCAGCCAAGATGATGGGTTCTGCCCACAGCACCACCAGGAGGTTGCCACCTCCTGCCGAGGCCCGCTGGGATGAATGTGTAGTAGAAAGATCTTTCCCATACAGGGCTCCATCACCTCCCTTATCCCTCAGCATCTCTGTGTTAGCCCTCAAGGTCCTCCAGAGCTCAGGGGATCACTCTTCCCCACAACAGCCTTTGCACACTTTGAGGCTCAATCATCCTATTCTCAGAAGCCTGTCCTTCTCTTATCTGTAGTCAGGCGCTCAGGCTTCTGTTTTCTCAAGAGTGTGATCAGCAGGATGCCCATGGCAGCAGTATGACCATAGTATGACCAGCACAGACTAGTACAGAACATCCCCTCCCTTGCTTTAGGTGCTATACCTCTGTTAATGCAGCAATGAACCAGCCTACTACTATTTCAGTTTCCCGTAAGCTTGGAACCGGAATCTCCATGACCAAATTATATCCCCTCCTTTGCTTTCATCAGCTGGTTCTTCTTCCTGTCTCTTTTGACCTTTTAGTAATTTCAATTCAAACCCAAACAGCCTCTCCCCAGCACATACAAAACCAGTCTTGAACATCTAGCAGACATTGGCATGCAAAGTCTTTCTTCAAGTTGGGAGGCTCACAACCTTGGTTTGCTGCAGACTCATTGTGTGACTCCAGGCAAACTCTCAACCTCTGTGGGCCTCAGCGTCCTCATCTATAAAATGGTGCCTACATCACCCACCTGTCGTCAGAGCTCTTATGAGGCTCAGATGGAATATGTTAAGACAGCCCTTTTGCTCAGGAACTTAGAATGATGTAGGGAGAGCAATGGCCTGGGGAAGGAAACAAGTCGGCCCGGGTCCAGTGAGACCCAGTCAGTCAGAATGCTGCTCGAAGTCTGTGCTCACACACATCTGGCCCATTGATGCGTGAAAAAGATAACACAGCCAGGAGTGATCGCTGACTGGGAAATGATCGCTGGGAAAGGAGGCAGGGAAGCTGGGAAGGTGCTGACATGCTCATCAGCTTCTGTCTGCAGCTGAGCAGAGCCATCGTCCGGATACCGTTTCAGCCAATCAAAACAGAACAGAATTCTAGGCGAGACAAACTCTAGATGTGTCCAGGGACCCAGCAGAGCAAGAGGAGATCAGGGTCCCCTACCGATAAGCAAAGGAACTTGGGAGCTCACCCTGCTGCTCTATGACTCAGTTTCGTTCCTGCAAAATGGCAGTGGAAGCATTTCCCTCATATAGCTATGGGGCAGGTCACCAAGTTCTCCTCTGGAAGATGCCACCTAGGCTCCTGGCACTCCGGGGTGCTCAGTGCATGTGGTTGGGCACGCTTTTCTCTCCCTCACTGACCAGAATGCTGGGAACCTCGGACTCAGCAGTGACCAGAGGGAATCGGGGCCACAAAGGGAGGCCAATTCCATTTGTCTAAAGATAGGACTGTGTCGGTGCCAAAGTCAACACAGTGGAAAGCTTGAACTTGGAGATTTCAGGAAATAATCCCTCATCATTGGGTGATAAACAGGAGTGACATGGAAGAGCCTAGAAAATCCAGCAGAGCTGGAACTTTATTTCAAATGCAGAAACCTCATGAGCAAGCAAAGCTGAAGGTCAGAGAGTAGTGGGTGGTGGCGGGGCTGGCTGAGCCCTGAGGGAAGGCCAGGGTGCTGACCACTGACCACCCTAGGAGAACATGATTCTTACTCTTCCCAGTTCTCCAGCAGAGTCACTGTGTAAAACAGGGGGCAAGAGAGCTCACCAAAGCCTGCAGGAAGGTCGGGCGGGGAAGGAGTGGTGGGTGTCCAGCACTCTAGCACATGTCCTGGCAGCACAGCCCAGAGGGCTTCCTGGTGGTCTTTCTGGAAACTGCACATGTGGTCCCGAGCCCACAGGGCTGGCGAGGAACTCTGAGGCCACTTCTTGCCCTCACTGCCTTGGAGAGCACATGGGTAAACTGGCAGCAACAGAGGTCCAAGAGGCATGACTGCTGATCTGAGAGAACCTTCTCCCCTATCTCACTTGTTTTGTGACCTCCAGTTAAGTTCCCTTCCCCCACTGGGTCTCACTTTCCTGAGGACGACTCTGCAAGTCAGCTGCAACCAGGTAAAGAAATGGAGCATCACATACCTCAGGGCCAGGTGGTCCAGGAAACCCAAGAGATCCTTTGTCTCCAACTTTGCCCTATGGAAGAGGAAAGTTGGTGTGAGAGAGAGCCTTCCAACTCTGTGGATTTCCACCCTAATTATGAGTGTTTGGAGAAGTTCAGAAATATATGGACAAAATCTACCTAAACACATAGACGGTTTTACTCTGCACACCTTACTTCCACAGCTTCCTAGAAATGAGATCATTTCACCTTGAGGACCCTCAATTACCTTATCTTTAAATAGGAGCAACAATGATTCCCTAAAACTCCTGGGGTTGCTGACAGCCTTTGAAGAGACATAATATAGGAGGGTCTGGTACATATGGTAACAATAAATAAAAGAATCCATTTTCATTAAGAGGGTAGTCGGTCTACAGGGTGTTGTGCTTCTGTCCAAAGAAGGTGTCTCTCTGGCAGTTCAAATCCACCAGCAACTCCTGAGGAGAGAGATGGGCAATCTCCTGCTGTTTGATTTACAGCCTCAGAAGACCACTGGGGGGGGGGTCAGCTGTGAGACCACTCCAAGTCAGTGACGAGTGAGGGATTGTTTACAATGCATTACAAAATAGTTGCTGTGGAGTTGATTCTGACTCATGGTGACCCCATGTGTTAACAGCAGAATTGAGCTCCAGGGCCTTTCAAGGCTGTGACCTTTAGGAAGCAGATGGACAGACCTTTCTTTGGAAGCATCTCTGGGTAGGTTCAAAACGCCAACTTTTGAGTAAGTAGTTGAGCACTTAATGATCTATGCTATTCATGGATTCCTACACATGGCATTATAAGCCTGTATTCCCAGCAGAGCTCTACTGGTGACTGAAGGCTGTCTAACTATGAGGCTGGGTCCCAGTGTCATCACTAAAAAGGGTGCACTGTCATTCCTGTTACATTCAGTCTGCTACTCAGGGCTGTTGCAGGAGATGAGGTCCTGGGTGTGAAGGTGTCTTAACTGCCTTCCATAACCATTCGGAGAGGGTGATGTTAGGGATATCAGAGCAGATACTTACCAAAGGCCCTGGTTTTCCCCGTGCACCTGGGAACCCTGGCAACCCCTGGCTTCCCTGGAAGAGACCCAGAGCATGCTGTAGTTAGGGAAGGACAGACACTTGGCCAGGTGAGTAAGTGTAGTCCTCTAGCCAGCCTGAGGCCACCTCTTTATTGGAGGAGCTCTCCCTTCACCTGCCGGCTGCAGGTCAGATCACACCGATATGGCACCCTGAGGGCTTGGTCTGGGAACTCAGAGGGGCAAACAGCCACCCTTGTTCTCACCAGATAGTCCTGAAATCTAGGACCCTGGGGCTCTGAGAAGGCACTGCGGAACTCCAGTGTAGAGCACCCCCAAGAGAGGCAGCAAGGTCTGCATGGCTCATCACAAAGCAGGAGACATGAGGCTGGGTCAGGCTGGGCCATCAGGAGGAAGGGAGGGAAAAGAGGCAGAATTGGTCAACATCTGGACCTCATTGACTGGCTGGCTGAGAGCCAGTTGTAGCCACATAGTGCCAGACACAGGCAGAGAGGAGCAGTCCTCGGCAGGCCCATGGTGGGGTGTGGAAAGTCCCCTTGGCTGTTCAGTAAGCCTGGTTACTCACTCATTGCACACACAGGCTCGAGCTACCTGCTTCTCCACACAGAACCTTGAGTCAATCAGGTCAGATGGAGCCTGTTCTCAGGGACCTCTGTGTCTAGCAGAGAGCTGTACACAAGTCCCACAAATCAGGAAGAAAGATGATCCCATAAGACCTCCTTATGACAGAGAAGCTGCTCAGGGTCCTTGAAGAGGGAAACAATCATTCTCCAAGCAGGTGTAGAAATAGCAAGTGGGCAGGGTCCTAAAGAATTGGCAGGATTGGACTGTACAGAGAGACTGGGCGTAAGATGGTCCAGGCTGAGACAGCAAATGTGCATAGGTCTGGAGGTACAGTGGGCAAGTGAATGAAGTTGCAATGCAGGGCTGTGAGCAGGGAAGAAGAACAGAGAAGCACAGACAGGTCTGGAGAGCCAGGGTGAGATGTCAGGTCTTCACTCTTAGAGCAGTTGGGAGCAAGAGATGCTTGCTTTATGAACATAGGGCAGAACTATGCCTTGAGAACAGTTCTGTGGCCATGGGGAAGAAGGTAAGTGGAGGGGGAAGAGGCTGAGGCCTGGAAATACATTAGGAGGTCATTGCAAAGTCTAGGTAAGAGATGGCCAGAGGGTGGACTGATGGCAGAGAAGATAGAACTGTTTGAAAAGGAACCATCTGACAGGTGGATCCTGGCTTATGACATGCCCTGGGAAAGAAGCCAGATCCAGACCAGGAAGACAAGGGGGAAGAGTGGGAATGAGATGCATTTACCTTGTCTCCTTGGAATCCGGGGTCTCCTGACACACCTGGAACCCCTTGTTCACCCTAAATGCACATCAGCAAAGAAAGTTACAATGGGCACCACAGTGGGTTCTGGACTCCTCCCCAGCATTCACACCCACTGGCAAGGGTACAGCTTTGCAAGATCATTCCCAAAGTTCACCTGCCCAGCAATAGCCTTGTTAGAGAAAAGAGCAGGTCACCAGGGAGCCTGGGGAGAAGGATATGTGCCAGCCTATCTGTGGACCTGCATGAGAGTGCGTGTATGACTAAAAACTGCATTGTCAGAAGCTAAACCAAGTACCACCTACCCTTTCCTAGAGAACTGACACTACGCCAAACTGTTTCTTAATCTTTCAACCACTTTGTCCTGAAGTGAGGTTGTCACATAGGAGCAGTACAGCCTGAACAGCTGGCCCTCCCTTGACAGCCCCAAGTCATTGTGGCCTCTGACTACTCTTGATAATTTTCACTATCAGGCTGTGAGCCCTCACTTTTTCCTTTCCTGAGAAATCCTGTGCTTGCAATCAGCTTAAGTTTACTTCTCAATAGTTGCATTTAATCAGTTTGCTCACTCACTCACTCATTGCAACTGAATCAGAACAGAGTCATAACTGACCCTCTATTCTGTTTCTGAGGCAATAAACAGCACAAGAGGAGATTGTTTATCTTTCTCTTGGGAGTCCCTGGTGGATCTGAACTGCCAGAGAGGCATGACCTTTGGGTTAGCAGTTCAATTCCCTATAGACCAAGCCATCAGAGCTCCCTTTAAGTCAGCTCAGAACTCAAACTCATTGCCATTGAGTTAGAACTGACTCATAACCGGCCCTGCACTGCATTTCCCAGCACTGTAAATCACACAAGAGATTGCCCATCTTTTTCTCTCAGAGTGGCTGGTGGATTTAAACCAGCAAGAAAATACAGTCTTTGGGTTAGCTGTGTAACTCCCCACAGAGTAGGCCACCAGAGGTCCCTTTCAGTTAGCTAGTGCATAAGGGACAAAGCCCCTGCGTAATGTAAATGGTTCACTTCCCCAGTTGCTAACTCAAAGGTTGGTGATTCAAGTTCATCCAGAGACGCCATGGAAGAAATGTTTGGCAATCTATTTCCAAAAACATTAGCCATCAGAAACACTTTGGAGCATGTCTAGTCTGACATACCAGATAGGCTGGCTTGTTAAAAAGAGGTGCAAACAGTCAGTAACCTAGTGTCCAGTGTATGACTGGGAGTTTCTCCTCTGAGATGGAATCTGTTACATACACTGGCTAACACTTGACTCTGACCATTAAGAGGACTGTTGTGCTCTGTTTTCAGCCACGTCCTGCTTTGCTGAGATCATCCAAAAAGTGAGCCTTTGCAGAAATAGTACATGTTTCCCTTAGGGCCAGGACCATCTCTCCCAGTGCTCAGTGCTTCCAGCTTTCCATGTTGGACATTACCGAAAGTCTGCTGGCCCAGGACTCAGGAAACATCCAGCCCGGGCAGCAGGAGGGAGAGGGGAGACAAGCCCAGAAGAACAGAGACTCAGAGACCCCGCATTGTACAGACGAGGCCATGGCCCAGCAGGACAACAACCTTGGTTGGACACACGAACAAAAGCCAGAATTCAGAATTCATTTACTTTGGCTTTTCCAGTTTGGAAAATCCTATAAAATATCCCAGAGATGTGAGAATTAAGGAAATTTTTTTTTAGTGTCCAAAGGAAGAATGAAAGGGTGTTAAGAAAATAATTATAGAAAAGTTTAAAATCAGGACAATCAATTTGGAGAGAACCAGGCTCGCTGGGAGCAGAGGAAACTGAGCGGTTGTAAGTGGGCCAGTGGCCAGGCTGGGTCATGGAAAATCTGGATTCCAGGCAGGAGCGACCACGGAACACGAAGAGCTGGTTTTGTCATCCAGGGAAGGGGGGGCAGGGAGGCTGAGCAGAAACCACCACACTCAATCTTAACCATAACATCACTCCCTCCCCCCCCAAAGGAGCAAGACATGAGACTCTCCCCCAAAGATTTACTTGAACAAAACCACAACAACTATGAGCAGGGAAGTCGTTTCCTTTTTTTTTTTCTCCCCCCTTTCCAGAGTTCTCACATCTCTCCATGTCCCCGGCCCCACCAGTCAGCACGCCAGCTGAGATCTATGTAACATTTCTTTCCATGTTCCTCAAGAAACCGGCACTGGAGGCCAGCTCTGCAGAGGGGCCTATTAAAAGCTCCCTGCCTACACTCCCACTTTACCCCCACTTCCTTTCTCCTTTGTCCATGACTTCACCCTTTCCAGAGTGCTGCAGTCTCTGTCCCCAGGACAAACAGGTAGCTGTGGGGAAACTCCCAGCTCCAACAGAAAACCTCTTAATCTAGAGAGAGGAGGGTCACAGGAAGGGGGTGGGGTGGGGAAAGGGGCAGCCAGCAGGGCAGAGGCAGAGGGCCAGCACTGGAGCGGGGACAGCTGGGGCGGCGTTAGAGGCGGCAAATGGGAGGCAGAAGGGTTGGAAATAGGTGGAGAGAGGGCTGGGATTAGCATTGCACCCTCTGGCTATCTGGGGCTGGGCAATGGATTAAAGAAGCTGGGCATGTCAATTTTAGCCCCACAGTTCTCATTTCCTAATAATGGCCTGCGTTGGTTCTGCCAATAAATCATTGACTTTTCTTTGGCAACGCTCTTTCTTCTTGGATCTCAGGTTCTCCATCTCTGAGCTCAAGGCATTGATGAGCTGAGAGGGCTTCGACTCTGACCTGGTGACCTCAGTTCTGCTTCGAAGCTGAGCTCTCCAGGCAGATGGCTGGATTTGGACCCTGACACTTGATTTACCAGCTTTTTGACCTCAGACAAGTTTCCTATCTCCTAGAGGGCAGGGCTGGCGTGGAGGATTAGGATTCATCCCAGCAGAGCTCTGGAATGCTGCCAGCATGGAAGGCTGGTTCAGGGAAGGTGCAGTGTTGCCTGCAGACAGGTGCAGAGACCGAGCCGTGGCTGGGCGAGGAGCAGATCTCTGCTGTCAGGACTCTCATGGACACTTGTAGCGTCCTCCTGGTTTGTCAGATACTAAGAGGGGAGAGTGAGAAGACGATCTACCAGACTGAGTACCAGGGGTCTTTCTGGACAGACGCTGTGGCACCCAGGCCCCTAACGCCCACCTTCCCCCTCTCTTGGCTTGATGCCACATGAGAAATGCAGTGATTCGTCAGCAGCAGGGCTATGCAGGGCTCATGTGGCAAACGTGCCGACCTCTTAAAAGCAGAGGCCTATCCTTAGCTCTCTTTTCATCCCACATGCTCTTTAGAGGGGCTTCCAAACTCCAAAGCAGGATGGCTCGTGTGGATTTTGTTTCGTCCTATGCCTTTCCTATACAGGCTTCCACCTCAGACCTGTTCCAGAGCCCACTCTCTCCTCAGCCCCAACTTCTGTGGTCCTTGGCTTTGGACTCCAGGACCTGGTGCTGTCCGAGACCAGTTTCAGTGCTCTGCCTTATCCTCCGTCCTTATCCCAACTTCCCCCTGTGATCTGTGTGTGTCAAGGTTTTCATTCCCTGAAGCCTGGTCAGTCTCCACCTGGAGTGATGAGTAAGAGGCCAGGGAATGCAGGTTTAAGGTAACATAGGCTGGGGGAGGGAAAAGGGGGTCATTTGGGAGAAACCAGCAGCTGCAGCGTGGAGGCAGAGTGGGGCTCACATGCAGATAAACACAGTGCAATAAGGGAGTATTCAGATCACCTTATCACCTTTCAGTCCGGGTTCCCCCATGTTTCCCATCAGCCCCTGCAAAACAGAAGGTCCAGAGGTGAGGGAGGCACTAAGCCATGGAGGTCAGAAATCCAGGTAAACTCACTGGTGACTCAAGGCAAGGGCTTCGTTTTCTTCTCTGTGATAGGAGACTAGGAATTCTATCTCTTAGAGCAGTGGAGTAGAGTGAAGGAGCTTTGGGAAAGGGTTCCTAGCTGGTGGGCCACAGCACTTCAGAAAAATCCAGAAGAGGGTGCTCATAGGGACAGACTGACATGTGCATGTTAGCCAAATTGTGAGATCCTCAGAGCATGCCCTAGCAGTGTTAGCTTGTTCTCTTATATGCCAGTGGACCTCAGGAATAGCGGTCTACACCTCTGGTCATTTTTCCCCACTGGGCTTACAGCCTCCTGAGGCCCAGAGTCATAAGTCACTGACACTGGGCCCAAGGACTGGCATCCAGCAAAGTTTTCTGGCACAGATAACAGACAGATGGTGATAGGCTATCAGGGCCAGGGAAGAACTGAGCCCCTGGCTTACCCAGTGTCCTCTCACCATCCTTCTGGACACCATCACTCCCACCACCCACACTGTCTAAGGGACAATAGCTTTTGGGGCTCAAACGGGTCAGCGTGGTCTGCTGGATGGCCAGGAATCACCCTCATTTACCTTCATGCCCTTGGGTCCTGTGTAACCAATCGGACCCAACGATCCCATGTCACCCTGGGAAGAGAAAGAAAAGGAAACATTGTAAGAGAGGGTCTTCTGGAGACTGGCCTCAGAGAGGTGACCCTCAAGGTGTCTGGGCCTGGGCTTTGCCTGGGCTTTGGAGGACACAACTCCACTGCGTTTATTTACATTGAAATGAAGAATGTTCCTCATTCTGTTTACTTCTACTGAAATATCTGAAACAATTTCACATGAATCCTTCCCAAAGTTACTTCTTGAAGGGTCATTCCCAGGCCCTTCCACCACACATACTACCCCTTTCTACTCCACAGCAGACTAGTAAATAACTAACTCATGGAGTCAGAGCGTTTCAGTGGATTTCATGGATCTCAGTCACCCTAACTATAAATTGAAGACAATGACTCGGCCCCTTTAGAGGTGCTGCAGAGCTAAGTAAAGCACACATCAAACCCAAAACTCACTGCCATCAAGTCAGAACTAACGTGAAGCTGTCCCTCCACTGAGTTTTTAGGAAGCTGTAAATCCCATGGAAGGAGATGGTCCATCTTTTTTGAGGAGCCACTGGCGGATTCAACCCACTAAAGAGGCTACCTTTGGATTAGAAGCTCCCTGTGGACTATGCCACCAGCATTCTCTAGGGGATCAACAGGACCTCTGAGTCCTCTAAGTGAAGGGGAAGTGCTTTTGGTCTGTTTTTTCAGAGGGTAGTGAAGAGGAAAGGTGTTAATCCTAGAAACCCCCAAGTCAGAGGTGGGCCATTAGGACTCCAAGAGCAGCTAGTCAATCAGGCCCACAGGCAGGAAAGAATCTCAGCTTTTCCAAAGGTGATCACCAAAGGCAAGAGCTGTGAGTTCTAGGCTCTGCAAAGTAACTCCCTTCATAGACACACTTCAACAAGGGCTCAGAAAGGTGGGGAGCCATCAGAACTCAGCAAAGCCAGATCTTGGTCTCCCCCACTCCGACTCACCGAATGTCTTGGGGAGATTAATCTCTCTGTGCCTCAGTTCCTCATTTAGCAAGTGGGGATTAATATTCTTACCACATTCCTCCTACAACTGTGCTGGGCTTTAATTCATTGAATTACGTTTACATTCATTAAATTGAATTCCTTTCATGTGTTTCACTCATTGCCACTGATTCAATTCTAACCCTATAGGACAGAGTAGAATTGTCCCTTAAAGTTCTAAAGGCTGTAATTTTCATGGAAGCAAACTGCTACAACTTTCTCCTACAGAATGACAAATGGGTTTGTATGGCCACCCTTTTGGCTAACAGCTGTTTTAACTTTCCCATGGCTGGTTTAACTAATCAAAATGTAAAAAAGCATTTGACAAATGTCTGGAGGCGTTTTTGGGTGTCATAACATGGGGGAAGTGACACGATGCTGGGAAGGGTGGAGGACCAGCGAACAAGAAGAAGACCCTCAACGAGATGGGCTGACACGGTGACTTCAGCCCCAGGCTGGGCATGACAGAGACGGAAGGAGGGCGCAGGAGGGGGCAAGGGTCAGATCTGTTGTTTGTAAGGTGGCTGAGATTTGGAGTCGACTTGAGACATCTAACAACAACTAGCATCCAGTGGGTAGAGGCCATGGACGTTGCAAAATAGCCTACAATGCACAGGACTCCCATCTCCAACCCCAAAAAGAATTATTCAACCCAAGATATCAGCGGGACCACGACTGAGGAACTCTGGTGGAGGGTGAAAAAGTGATTAAACTTTCTCCAAACAACATCCTTGTCTCAACCCAGCCCCCCCCCATTTCCCTCAAATCTTCTCACGTCGGGCCCACCTCTATCACTGGCACCCTTGGGCAAGGCCTTACTGTAGAGCTCAGCCTCTGAAAAAGAGAGATGCTAAAGAAATTACCTTTTCTCCTTTTCCTATCCTCTGTGATGGATCCAAATGCCTGCCTGTCGTATGACCTCAATCAATGTACTTGACCTCTCTGTACCTCGGTTTCTCACTTCTTTGGCAAAAGCTCAGAGGTCAGAGTACAGCCCTCGGGGAAAATATGTACACAACAAAGGCTGTCCCAAGTAGCCAGGCTCCAGCGAGGAGTTCCAGTCCGAGCTGCCTGGAGACGTCGCAGAGGGAGGCCCGCTGAGAATGAAAAGTCGCATTCCTGCCTGGCTCTGCAGAAAGGGCGGTGAAGGGCCAGGGAAAGTGTGTGCCTGCAGAGTGTCTGCTCAGATGACAGCTCGGTCTGCTGAGGCCTAGCTGATTCTCACCCCCAACTTCGGGGTAGTCCAAAGGCTGCACCTCTCTGGAGGTTCAAATCCACCAGTCACTCCTCAGGAGAAAGAGAATGCAATCTCTTCTGGTGCAATACATGCGGTACATAGCCTCAGAAACCCAGTGGAGGGTGCACTATGAGTTAGCTCCGACTCCACACACAACAAGTGAGAACTACTGCAAGGAGCCCTGCTAGAGCACAGGGTTAAGTACTCAAGTACAACTGGAAGACTAAGGGGCCCCTGATTTGGGCCATGGTCTTCTCAGTCACTTGCTGTGCATCTGAGAGCTGGACAATGAATAAGAATAAGGACGAGAGAAGAATTGATGCCTTTCAGCTGTGGTGCTGGAGAAGAATAGTGAACATCCCATGGACTGTTAAAAAAGAACGAACAGGTATATCTCAGGAAAGGTGCAGCCAGATTGCTCCAGCAAAGCTTTACCTCTCATACTTTGGACATGTTGCTAGGAGAGGCTAGTCTTTGGAAAAAGAGATCTTGCTTGGAAGGGTGGAGGGTCAGTGAAAGAGAGGAAGACCTCTCCATCGAGAAGAGTTGACACGGTGACTGCAGCAACAGGCTCAAGTGTATCAGAGACGGTGAGGGTGGCACAGGATAGAAGATTACTTGGATCTGTTGATCATATGACTGCTATGAGTTACTGAACTAAACTCAACTCAGAGCACCTAACTACAACCAACGGGTAGACTAGCAGTTCAAACCACTTAGAGATTCCATAGGACAAAGACCTAGCAATCTGCTCCCATAAAGATCAGCCAAGTAAACCCTTTGGGGCAGTTCTATTCTGTCACATGGGATCATTGAGTCAATATTATCTTGAACGCATCCTCACCCCCTACTCTCACCATTCAATCCCTCTCATCCAGGCCATGTCCCTACCATGTGTCCCTACCACAGGCTAAATCCTCCTTGGTCTGAATCTCCGAGTCCCCATCTGATTGGGTTCAACAAAACCTTCTAGCTGAGCTCTGCTAAGAAGGCCTGCCTTCAGTTCCCATCAGGTAATTGTCCCCTATTAGTTGCTGGGTACAGTGCTAAATGCTTCATACTCCTGCACGCAGCTGTTTCTACAACCACCTTTAAAGATGGCCTCTATTACTCATTATTCATTTTATTCTATTATTCATTTTATAGATTAGGTTCCCAGAGGTTAGGGCTCAAGCAATGTCACACAGCCAGCGCAGAGCTGGGATTCACTAGGCAGGCTGTCTCCAGAGCTCCTGTAAATACTGAAGTCATGTTTGGAGAGAGGAGAAGGAAAGGTAGTTAGGAAGCCAGGGTTTCTGGCTGAGTGGGGCTGGAGTCCAAAGGAAAAGATAGCCCTTCAGAGCTTTGCTTCTAATCGGGCCATTTCCTGTTGCTTCTGTTCCCCTCTTTTCCTGAATGAAGCGAGTGAGGGGTGGCCCACCCAGAGTTCCCCATGGTGTGCAAATAAACAGAGGCCTTTCTGGAACAGTCTGCTGCAGTGCAGGCCGGAGCTGAGGCGACGAAGGGCCAGTTGGCAGCCTGGGAACACTGGCTTCTTCTTTCCCACTTGGGACCTGAAGGTGGCTTGATATTGGGGACAGAATTCAGCACGAGCTTAACTAACTCCTGTGCGGGCCGTGGTGGGCTGTGGGGTCACAGCAAAGCCTCATGTCCTCTCACCAATAGCCACTCTGCTGCCCTGCTGGCCTCTTGGATAGGTCTGTGAAGGGGGGGCAGGGCCTTGTGTAGCCATTCAACACCAGGGGGAGGACCTGTTAAGAAGGGCTCCTGGTTGCCAGGGACAGGCTCAAAGCAGGCCTTCCCTATGTTGGTCTTCCCTCTTGCCCCCATCAAGCTACACAAGCATTTGGGGAGAAGTGGAGGAAATGGCAAGCTACCTTCCGCCAGCTCCACTCACAGAGGCGCTGTCCACTCCACACAGGATAGCTCTGTGCACAGCCTGGCCTAGCAATACAGCATTTTCCCGCACACCCAGACACCATTTTCCACATTCTGCCCTGCATCTCACTGACTCCTACCAAGAGCAGAATCAATCACAACCGTGTGGCTGCAAAGCCCCTACTGTGCGTCAGAGACCACACTACACACTGGGAATACTGCCCCACCCAGTCCTCATTAAAAAGAGCTTTTAAACTTTTTTAAGGAGCATTCACACAGTGCCAGGGTCCTGGGATACTTTCCAGCTCCTCATACCAGCTTTGCAAGGTTCACTCTCTTACTAGCCCCATTCCATTTTACAGATGAGAAAACTGAGGCAGAGAGAGAGAGAGAGAGAGGTGAAGCAACCTGACCAACCAAGATTAAGCAACAAGTAATGGACAGAGCAAGACCCAAATCCAGGTCTGTCTGTCCGTCAGACCCATAGTCCAGTCTCACAAGCTCTATATTGTCTTTGGACAAAGGATTCCAGGTAGCCTTTGCTTCTCACCATCACTCATGAGTGACAGACAAGAGAAGAGATGTAAAATTCAGAGACAGGCATGAGTTCTGCTACTCTGACACACGGTCAGCAAGAGCCACACCAAGGTTGTCCAGATACCCCTGAAAGGAGAGGTGGGGTGTCATCCTTCCCAACTGACATGCTCACACGTCTCCTCTTCCCTTCTTCGTTGCTATTCCTCGTTAGCTGCAACACGCTAGCACACCCCAGGGGACACCTGGGCCCTTCTCAAGCTGTTTCCGGCACCCTGCATGCACTGCCCTCCGCTCAGATCATTATCATCTCTTTGTTCTTCTGCCAGGAGCTCCAGCATCACTTCCCCAGCGCCACAGGTCCACGTCCCTGCTGTG